ATAGACATAAGCATGATGGAAAGAGCTATGTACTAACCCAGTATACTGAAAATTGAGAACCAGGAATAAGCATAAAGAGGAACTAGAAGATACTTCATTGACCAATGAGCTTTTATGACCTTCTTCCAAAGATAAAAGGGGTAATGCCGATTGTCAGCAAGAAGATAGGGATGAGTAATGCTGCACCAAAACATTACATATGTGATCAAACATTGAAAGAAACGTCCCAAATATACATTAAATCTTCAATCTTCACGAGAAGGAGGACAAAGAAACAAGCTGAAGTAGTTGTTGCGGACAAACTAACCCATACCACAATTTCCTCAGCATATTAGATGGTTATCTCAACTGACCTAAAAAAATGCACAGAAAGGAAGCTGGTAATAAAGGCGACAAGCACTTGAAAGAAACTAAGGAGTTTGTTCTTCCAGAATGACCAAAGCAACCTTTTAGCTGGACCCATAGTGAGGTGTACAGGAGCCACAGCCAGAGTGGAAACCAAACTAAAATACATTATCTGCGCAAAATGTGGAGAAACTGCATGAGCTTCTTTTGCGCCTGCAATATTTGGAGAGATTGCAAAAAAACATTTTAGAAAACATAAAACAAAAACACCTATTACTAGCAAAAAATAGAACATGATAAGAGAGATTACCAAGAACTACACTTCCATTCCAATAGACAAAAGTGAAAAAGGCCACCAATGCCAAAAAGAAGGGGCTGAATGAGCACAAAATATCCCACTTCATATGCCATGCAGTCAAAAGTATATCGTGAATCTCATCAAGGAGCCCTGTATGACAATGTCACAAAGATGTACCATTAGGATTCCAAACAGACTACACAAACAAAGTGGTCAGAAAAACCATTTATGGAAAGCTCCAAAATTAACTTGCTCATTTGCTAAGATCCACCAAAATAAGCTGATACAGTAAATGCACACTTTGGAAATAAGAACGTTTCACTATTACAAACTAATATAAATTAATCAAACATGTGGAACAGAACCTGATGTTTGAGTTGCTGAATAGATACTAGTACTGAGCCTAGATTTATCATCCTCGTCCACAATGCCCTTGGACTTTCTTTTTCTCAAGTTGGAAGCAACAGTGGCACTACTGCTGGGAGTTAAATGACCATTTTTCCTGACTGACTCATGAGACTCGTCCACTTTCTCAACACTTCTTCTATGTGCTAGAGTAATATTTATGACCCCAGTACATGCAATAAAAACCATCCATATAATATTTGTTTGTCTAATGACAACTGCGAATGTGCCAAGCTGATTAGAAGACAAGGAAATTATATCACAAATTGCATAAAAAAAGGATATTGATTAGAAATTCCATATAATTCCATCATCAATCTGTTAGTATAATTACTTATTCTCACTTAAAAACTTAAAGTATGACAATCTTCCGTCCAGCTATAGCCCAAACACACAATATAATCATCTCAACCTCAAAATAACATTTTCCTACCCCCTAAATTCCTTGATTGTTGGTTTCTCAATCAACTATTTCCCTTATTTGTTCTTAATGCTCCATTGACTATTGTCTGGCAGCTGACAGAGCACCTTAGGTCTTTGGTAATTCAGATGAAAGGAAATGTCGCATGATGAGCTCATGAAAAAATCTTTGAATGATACAACCAACCACTTTCTGAAATCTTTCCTTGAGATGAGCTAGATAAACAGATGATAGAAAACTACATATTTTAAAATGTCAATATTTAAGGAACTAAATGCAGATTCTACTGCTTAAGTCAACAAAACCCCAAAAAAAAAAAAAAAAATGTAAAGTTGTCTGTTAAAATAAGCTTCCCTGAGGATTGCTTCTAAATTTTAACCTCTCGAACCAAAAACTATGCCACAACATAGTGAAATTTAAAAAGAAAAAAATGAGAAAATGAAAAGTCCATGTCTACAAAACCATGAAATTAAATCCAGAAACTTTCATCATGTGTAGAGATTCTAAATGAGAAAGTTGACTTGACATCATTACCAATGCACTAAGCTGATATTTCTTCTTCAAACATGCAAGGTACATAGCAAGTACTGCAGTAAGTGATGCAACATCTGTATAGTAAAGAAAAGTGAAGAACCAGTGGAGAGGGTACAACGCTAGGACCACAGCACGAAGAGTTGCTTTTCTACCATCAAGAATTGGTCTCAAATGAATTATTATCTCATATATGATAATGCTGCATAATACTGCCAACACACCATTTACAGAGCGAAGAACCGAAGTGGAGCAAACTTCAAAAAATGATGACACTGCTTGTATAAAGAACATGGCTGGAAACAAAGAAGCAACAGGGGCAAGTGAAAGATAGTACCTGCAAAAGTTTTACACCACACGTATCAACTTCTATTACTAAGATATTATTTCTTAGGATTTAAGTTGCAAGCCAGAACTAGCAAACAATAAAGCAAGCCTTAAAATGAATTTCAACAGCACTTAAATTTTCCATATTCATAAATGGATTTCTCATTACAAACGTTCCTAAAATTATTATATTAAATAAACATTTCTTTTATTTGTTTCTTCATAATGTAGCTCAGTTTACCACTTCAAAAAAACAAACATTATCATTCAAGCGAAATTTCATAACAAAGCAAGAAAACTAATGAATGGCATCCGATTCCAATCCTATAAATTTATTTGAACACAACTATGATCATATCCATTTAATTCAATCATTCTTCATTAACTTTCAACTTCAAATAAACAAAATGAAAAATTGAAACATAGAAATAGCATACAGGCCAGGAGGAGTTGTGATCATGGGATCCCAACTCTTGAAATTGCCTTTGCAGTACTGCTGAGCCTGGGGAACATGAAATATTTCATCCTGCAAACAACAGCTAGTGGTGAGAATAGCTTCAGCTTAGCAGCAGATTTTTACAGAGAAATTAATAAAAGGGGATATAATTCTTACCATGTAAGGGTCAGGAACAATGCGATTTACGAGAATTGAAATGGGAATGACCCACAAGCTCACAATCACAGCAACTGCCACTCTACCCATATCTATTTCTCCCTGTTCTCCGTTAAGAATTGACTCTGCACCAACAAAAAGGACTAAAGCTATTGGGATTAACGTTTCTCAATCTCAGAGACCTGAGCCTTGATCTCCCTTTTCTCTCTAATTCATCTTCTTTTGTTGCTCTTCCTCGTCATATAAATCCCAACTGTTATATTCTAGCCACGACAGTTCTGGCATCATTGATGGACGTGAGGAGTGAAGGAAAGAAAGGAATTCTGAATTTGGGTATTGATCTCTGGGTTAAGAATTGAAAATGCTGCGTTTATAAACAAGATGAGAGGCATGGCACTATGGCAAGTGACTAATTGCGGGCTTTGGTCTCAAGCGTCAAGGGTTGCGATAGAACCCGTCCAGTTCAGCCCATCAAGTCAGAGAAGAGTATTGCCAGGTCACAACCCAATATGACAGCTTTCTTCCACGACCCAATATCACAACTTTCTTTTATAATCTTAGATGTGATAACTCGTTATTGGCTAGCTTGCAAAAGAGATCATACTATCCATTTTCGAGCTAACCAACAAACTACCACGTCAGAGATTGTAAGAGAAGGTTGTAGATCTAGCATTATTCTTCAAAGAATTAGCATGATACTAGATAAGGGAAGTGATTTTTAACACCTATTAAATTGATGACTATCCGTCACTACTAAATACACATCTATTAAGTTTTAAAAAGTTTTCTTTAAATCCAATTTAATACAAAAATAGCCCTGCTTAACTAGGTTTAATTAGGGTTTTTATTTGCATCCATTTTCCCCAATTTCAAACTTAATTAAGGTTTTTTATTATACTATTTTTCCTCAATTTCAAACTTAATTAGGGTTTTGTTTACACCATTTTTCCCAATTTCTTAGTTGGGTTTTTCTTTTTTAATTATACCCCTTTTTTCTCAATTTCTTAATTGGGTTTTTCTTTTTTAATTATACCGTTTTTTCTCAATTTCAATTTTGAAACTTACTTTTTTCTTCTTCATATTCAAATTCATCTCGTTGTGTATCACTTTCTCCATAGTTTTAGTTTTATATTTTCATCAAATAAATAATTATTTGAAAAAAAAGAAAACATTATTTCAATGATTTAAAAAATTTTAGAGTTAGGGTTTATGTAAAAATTAAAACAAAAATATAAAACAGAGAATGAGTATATTTAAAAATTATCATGATATGAAAACTAAACTTGTCAACACAAAAATATACCTAAAAGTAGAGATACTCATTAATTTGATGGGGGTTAAAAATCACTTCATATTAGATAATTTGGTTGGGCTTAGGATGGGTTTGAACCATTTATATATTAATTTATAGAATTATTGCATTAATCCCCTAAAGTAAGATATAACAAAAAAAATACCCCTAAGGTTTTTGAAATAATAGAATTCCCTCGTCGTTAAGTTTTAGGTGTTAAAATAAATAGTAGTATGACAATTTAGTAATATTTACTAACTCATAATAATATAAATTTTAACGGCTCACTAACAGATCATTAACGACAAAGAGTGTTTTTTGTTATTTCATAAACCTCACAAAAATTTATGTTATTATATCATACCCCCAGGAGGATTAATGTCCTTAACTTAATTTATATTATTTTTAAAATAAATTTAATAATTTAATTTTTAAAAAAAAAGTGAAAGATCACCAGTAAACTACTTCTGGGTGATCGAGTGGTCCGATAGGGACTTTTGGGTGTATTACTCAAGAAGTTCTGAGTTTGAGTCCCTTCTTGATCGTCAACAGGGGTAGTCATTGAAGCTCTTACCCAGTCAATAGTTTTAAGGTCCTAGAGGATTAGTGTTTCAGGGTCACGGGAGATTAATTGAGTTGCATGTGAACTGCCCTGGACACCCTCGGTCATCCAAAATAATAAAAAAGGGCACATTGTCGTTGGTCATCATATTTATTAATGATCTTACATTGTGGTTGTTAATCTATGCAATTATATGTTTATCGTTAACAAAAATATCAATTGGTCATAAACAACTATCAAAATTTTGACAACTAAAAGTCTGACCACCCTTGTAGTTAAACGTTACATCTTTTTCTGATGTTTTATAAACGGCTGCATCCACTAATCATTTTTGTGTAATGGTATAAAGCAACGAGTTCTGGATTCAAATCTTACCAAAGAAAACCCTTATTATTGCTTCATATTATGAACTGGATCTAAAAAAGTCGAATGCAAATCTACTACACTCATCGTGCTCATCCGCGAACCATTCAAATTTGTTAAACTTCTCAATTTTCTTTTTTTAAATAAAATTTACACGAACATATATTAATTATCTCTGGGTGGCCAAGGTTCTACAGAGACTTTTGAGTATATTACTTAAGAGGTCATGAGTTCGGTCTCCCTGTATTATTAATAGGGATAGCCACTGAAACATTACCGGTCGGTAGTTCTAGGATCCCGAGGAAGAAGATGAGCGTAAATTGACCCAAACACCCCACAGTCTCAAAACAACAACAAAAAAATATTCAATGAAAACCTTTGATATGGTTTCGGTCTATATATTAAAAAAGGATGGCAGATGATTTCCCTGTGAATCATTGAATTTGCTCATCTACTTTGATTTTTTGGTCTTAAACTAGAATGCTAAAGAGAAATAACTTTATGGCAAGGTATAGAGTGTTACAAATCCACTTACGAGTAAAGAGGCATGTCATATTAAAAACACGAATCGGCAGACCTATCACACATAAACGCCACAGAATCTAAAGCATGAAAACAACTTTTCTTATTTTTTTTCCCTCGAAACACATCATAATAAAATTATAAATTTCTACTCAAAATCAAAAGGTGTTCGTATACAACACCCATGATACAAAAGGGAGATGTCTGATTCAATACAAAAATGGTCAGGGCAATATCTAGCCTGGTAAAGAAATTCAAATTACTTTCAAATCAAGGGACCTTTTTCTAAGCCTATTTCATTTCCCTATCTACCATATAATCTCTGGATCCCAGGTTCGTGGTCCCAATGGAAGGGCCGGAGCAAGAACTCATCATGTAAGAATTAAGGACTATATAGAACCCCCATCAGAAGCCATGTAGATCATTGTTAATATCGGAATGAAGAATCATAAAATGAGTGGTATTGGTGTAGCTGAACTCGATTAGAGGAGCGGGAACAAGAACTGCAGCTGTAGCCAAGAAATATCCCACACCCAGATCTTCCTTGAGTTTCCCTGCCAATCAAAAATAATAAGGCCCTCCCATGGCTAAAGTATATAGACATAAGCATGATGGAAAGAGCTATGTACTACCCCAGTATACTGAATTGAGAACCAGGAATAACATAAAAGGAACTAGAGATACTTCTTGACCAATGAGCTTTTATGACCTTCCTCCAAGATAAAAGGGGTAATGCCGATTGTCAGCAAGAAGATAGGGATGAGTAATGCTGCACAACAAAACTTACATGTGATCAAACATTGAAAGAAACGTCCCAAATATACATTAAATCTTCAATCTTCACGAGAAGGAGGCAAAGAAACAAGCTGAAGTAGTTGCAGACAAACTAACCCATACCACAATTTCCTCCATATTAGATGGTTATCTCAACTGACCTAAAAAAATGCACAGAGAGAACTGGTAATAAAGGCGACAACCACTTGAAGAAACTAAGGAGTTTGTTCTTCCAGATGACCAAAGCAACCTTTTAGCTGGACCCATAGTGAGGTGTACAGGAGCCACAGCCAGATTGGAAACCAAACTAAAATCATTATCTGCGCCAAATGTGGAGAAACTGCATGAGCTTCTTTTTGCGCCTGCAATATTTGGAGAGATTGCAAAAAACCATTTTAGAAACATAAAACAAACACCTATTACTAGCACAAAAATAGAACATGATAAGAGATATACCAAGAACTACACTTCCATTCCAATAGACAAAAGTGAAAAAGGCCACCAATGCCAAAAAGAGAGGCTGTGCACAATATCCCATTTCATATGCCATGCAGTCAAAGTATATCGTGAATCTCATCAAGAGCCCTGTATACAATGTCACAAAGATTTACCATTAGGATTCCAAAAGACTACACAAACAAAGTGGTCAGAAAAACCATTTATGGAAGCTCCAAAATTACTTGCTCATTTGCTAGAGCCACCAAATAAGCTGATACAATGCACTTTGCAAAAGAACGTTTCATATTACAAACTAATATAAATTAATCAAACTGTGAACAGACGACTGTTTGAGTTGCTGAATAGATACTAGACGCATAGATTTATCATCCTCGTCCACAATGCCCTTGGACTTTTTTCTTTTCCAAGTTGGAAGCAACAGTGGCACTACGGCTGGGAGTTAAATGACCATTTTTCCTGACTGCCTCATGAGACTCTCCCACTTTCTCAACACTTCTTCTAGTGCTAGAGTAATATTTATGACCCCAGTACATGCAATAAAAACCATCCATATAATATTGTTTGTCTAATGACAACTGCGATGTGCCAAGCTGATTAGAGACAAGAATTATACACAAATTGCATAAAAAAAGGATATTGATTAGAAATTCCATATAATTCCATCATCAATCTGTTAGTATAATTACTATTTCTCACTTAAAAACTTAAAGTATGACAATCTTCCGTCCAGCTATAGCCCAACACACAATATAATCATCTCAACTCAAAATAACATTTTCCTACCCCCAATTCCTTGATTGTTGGTTCTCAATCAACTTTTCCCTTATTTGTTCTTAATGCTCCATTGACTATTGTCTGGCAGCTGACAGAGCACCTTAGGTCTTTGGTAATTCAGATGAAGGATACAACCAACCACTTTCTGAAATCTTTCCTTGCAATTAGCTAGATAAGATGAAAACTACATATTTAAAATGTCAATATTTAAGGAACTAAATGCAGATTCTACTGCTTAAGTCAACAAAAGCCCAAAAAAAAAAATGTAAAGTTGTTTGTTAAAATAAGCTTCCCTGAGGATTGCTTCTAAATTTTAACCTCTCGAACCAAACTATGCCACAACATAGTGAAATTTAAAAAGAAAAAATGAGAAAATGAAAGTCCATGTTCACAAAACCGTGAAATAAAATCCAGAAACTTTCATCATGTGTAGAGATTCTAAATGAGAAAGTTGACTTGACATCATTACCAATGCACTAAGCTGATATTTCTTCTTCAACATGCAAGGTACATAGCAAGTACTGCAGTAAGTGATGCAACACTGTATAGTAAGAAAAGTGAAAACCAGTGGAGAGGGTACAACGCTGGACCACAGCACGGAGGTTGCTTTTCTACCATCAGAATTGGTCTCAAATGAATTATTATCTCATATATGATAACTGCATAATACT